CTCTTCTTCCAGTTTTTTATAGTCATCCTCGATAGTTTAAAAATCTTTTTCTGCATTGTGTTTCTCGTATAGTCTATTATCAGACCCCTTGTGTAAACCTTCATTAAGTCAAAGGATTCTTTATCTTTGTTCTTGCCAAGAGAAAAAAAAAAAAGAAAAAGAAAAAAAAAGAAGAGGAGGGGAAAGGCTAGGTCTCTTTAAAAATCCAACTGGGGGGGGGGGGATTAGAGAGAAAAGCAGAGCTTCTAGCAGAAAGAAGGGCTACTGCCCCTAAACAAGGTTCTTGTGATAAACTCAAACATTCCATCTTGAATATTTTCAAAGTCGCTTTCAGAACTGAACATTTTTGTTTAAGGTTTTGGAAGATATTAATTTTGGAGAAAATTCTATAAAATGGGTGAAATTGATTTATGCCTTACAGACCTCACAAATAATCGTTAACGGAGACTTAACCAAACCATGGGAGATACAAAAAGGAACAAGACAAGGTGCCCAATGTCCCCTCTTCTGTTTTAGTTCTTGAAATATTGAATAGAGACATAAGACAAGATGAGAGGATTGTGGGCGTAAAGATTAAAAAAGACTCATACGAGTTAAGAGCTTTTGCAGATGATTTGGTTCTGGTTTTGGTAGACCTTTTAAAGGGAATTGAACTTTTAATGAGTAAATTAAAAGAATTTGGGGTATTTGCAGTTTTTAATAAACAAAAGACAAAAATGCTAACAAAAACGTGAAGATACAAGATCAAAGAGAATTGATGGACAAAATGGGTTTTAAGATGGCAAAAAAGGTTAAATACTTGGGTATAACTATGACAAATATGAACTGTATCTTACTTCACAGTAATTATGTCAAGACATTGAATGAAGTTAGAAAAGATATGTCAAGATGGGATAAAGTTCAGTTGTCACTGTTGCATGGAATTTCTGTGATTAAGATGAATGTTTTACCTAGAATGTTATTCTTCTTTCAGACAATACCTGTTTTGACAAACGATGTACCATTTAAACAACGGCAGAAGGATATATCTAAATTTGTATGGCAGGGGGAAAAAAATCTCAGGTTAAATATAAGATACTACAAGATGCAAAGGAAAGAGGAGGGTTGGGTCTACCAGATTTGAAATTATACTTTGCTGCCTGTTGTTTAGCTTGGATGAAACAGTGGGTGTTCTCAAGAAATGGAAGGTTATTGGAGTTAGAAGGACATGATTTGAGATTTGGGTGGCATGGATATCTGTGGTATGATAAGGCTAAGGTTAATGTAGATTTTAAAAATCATTATGTCAAGTGGGCCATTCTTAGAGTATGGAATAAATATAAATTGAGGTTGTACCCAAAAACACCTCTGTGGCTTTCAGCAAAAGAAGCATTTTATAGACGAGAAACAATAAGTAAACATAGATGGTTAACTTACTGTGTTGTACCAGAATTTTCTCAAGGGAATTGCAAAATGAAATTGAGATTTGACAACAGAAGGAAATTCGTGTCAATGGTTTTCTTATGTACAATTATCAGAAAGGTTTAAAGTGGATGAAAGATTTGATGGTTTTGAACAAAGTAAGACTGAGTTTGAAATAGAAGAGCTAATGATGAACATGTTATTGCTGAAATGTATAAACTTTTGTTGAAATATGAGACAGAAGAAGAACAAGTGAAAGAATGTGTGATAAAATGGACTAAGCATTTTGGCTATAATACACAAATGGACCAAGGGGAAAATATGTGGTTGAAAGGATTGAAATTTACATTATGTTCTAGCCTTAAAGGGAATTTTTATAAAATGATATATCGTTGGTATTTGTCACGAGAGAAATTGTCTAGAATGTATAAAGGTACTTTGAATCTTTGCTGGAAATGTGAACAACGTGAAGGGACATTTTATCATGTTTGGTGGATATGTAAAAAAGCCCCCAAGAATGGATACAAATACATACATTAATTCAGAAGATTTTAAAGATTAAAGTACAACTGAAACCAGAGACTTTTCTTTTGGCATTAATCTAGTTGACAGGCAACTAGAAAAAAGTCATGGAACTTTGTTTTTATGTATGACAACTGCAGTGAGAGTATTATATGCTCCAAAGTGGAAAGGTTCTGCATTACCCACAATGGAGGAATGGTTGGTGAAGATGATGGAATCTACAGAGATGGCTAAATTAACTTCCTTGATCAGAGAAAAGACAATATCTACATTTATGGCTGACTGGAAACCCCTTATAGACTTTTTGGATGAAAGGAAAAAAATGTTCTTATGACTTGTGGTTTTGACGATTAGGAAAAAATTGGATAATAGAAAAAAGTGAGTTTTTTTGTAATCATAGATAATTTTGTAATCATATTTATATTTGCTGCAAAGGAAATCAGAAGGTTCTTCTTTCTATTTTTTTCTTATTTCTTTCTGCATTTTTGTTTTCTCCCTCCCTCCCTTCTTTCTTCTCTTTCTTCTGTATTAGTTTGGGTTAGTTTTTATGTTCTCTTCAAAACATTTTGTAAAATTTATATATATAGCAAAGGGTGGGAATTACAATTACTGCCTTTTTCTGGTTTTGGTAAGGTGACATTGATGTCTGTTTTAATGTCTTGTCATATGCTGTATGACAAAAAGAAGAGAAGCAAGATTCATCAGCACTCATCTGCTACACCAAAGGAATAGAGAGGGGAAACCTGGGAGCTGAAACCCTCAAATAAAATTTTACACACATTTCTAAGTTGCTAAGGTTTTCTTGCTTTTTGTTTTTTACTTTTCAAACCCAATAGTTCTCTTGAGTCAACTAAAATGTCGGTCTAAGTCTGATGGAAATAAACTGAGATACAATGTTTTCATTGAGCAAATAAAACTGGCTGGGGAATTCTGGGAGTTGAAGTCCACTCATCTTAAAGTGGCCAAGTTTGGACAACACTGCCTTAATCTTTTCCTAAGGAAATGGAACTCATTAATCATCTCCTTCTCTCTCTTTGGAGGGTTTCCAACATGGGCCAACAACTTTAGCTGAGGGGTGGGCACATTTGGAATGTACAGAGCATGTTGTGGGCACTCTCTCAAAATGGCTGCAAGAGAGGTGCCTCCCCTTCACTAAAGGTCTGCCATGATGGTGTGGCCACTCACAAAGCAGCAGCGAGACCCTCCCTCCCTCCCCAATCCACTCTTCCACACCATACTGACTTCATCTCTTCCTGGGCAAATGGGCCACTGTCTGACAAAGCTCCAGGCTGTACCCCTTTGCTACTGCTTTCGTTTGTTTGTGTGCTTTCTTTTCTAAGAAGGCCTACAGGGCCTTCCTGGCATCCATGCCAGATGCAGAGGCATTCTTGTAAATCAAGGTGATGCTCCAGACTGTGTTTGTGCTGCTTGGGTTCCATCTGATTTGGTGAAAAGAAGGTTGAAACAAAAAATAGCCAGGTGAGGCAGGGAATTGATAGTGAAGCGCAGAAGCTACAGGAGGGTCTGCACAAAGTGTGGGAGTAAAACTGGCTTAAGACATTTAACTGCCTGAGATAAACTACAAACAGTCCCTGGAACAAATTCATCCTCCCTCTTCTCCTTTCTGGAGCATCCTGGATGAGGAAGATGCCCAGAGAGATCCATACTAAAATCTATATTCTTGCATGTTCAGAGCTGACTTCCCACTCTCCCAAAGGGTGTACATTCATTGTACATTGTACATTTTATGTAAATGAAATGTTAAATCATACTATGATTACTCCCCATGGGTGTAGTAATGTTCTCTTTTTGTCTCATTACAATTCAGCAGCAACTTTTGGAAGTCCATCCGGGGACGCAGTAGAAGTTTTGGAGAGCTCTGGTGGCCATGGCTTGGACATTTCACTCAGATCTTCCAAATCTGACTCTCTAGCTTCCACATCTTGATATTGTTATTACCTGTTTCTCCCTCCTGTCCAAAAGTATGTCCATTTCTGAGAGAGGCCTGTAGATTTTGCTGCTGCTCATCAGATTGATTCCCATCTCTGTATCCTTCCTCAGGTTCATCCATATTCCACATTTGTGGATTTGTCTGACCTGGAATTAGAAATGGGGCTGTCACAAGAAGGAAGACCAAGATGCTTAAAGAAGCTGGCAAACTACTGATAATTTCAAGGAAACTCTTTCTAGATATAGGACACGGCCTTTCAAAAATGTGCAGCAGAAAATAATTTGTAATACAAAGTTTTTATCATCATGAATACATTGGGCAACTTTTTGGTAGAGGAGTAAAATCCAACATTCTGTTATCTACATTATATCAAAAGGGTTGAATCCAGTTAAGAGTCCAAGTTGATCTTGGTGGATCTTAAAAAGCTAAGTAGGATGAGAGCCTATCAGAGAATCTGTAGGTTAGACTGAGTAATTGAAAAACTTCCCATATAGCAACACACACAAACACCAATCCACACACAACACCAAGAAACACTTCTCCTCAGTTATTTACTAGGAATTAGGCCCAGATTCCTCTCCCAAGTGATAATAATTGAGGTGGGGGGGGACCTATAGTGGAGACTCAGGCAGGAGATCATAATTTCTGTGGTAATTTTTCTCTAGTATACACCCACGCCCTGTATGTATGTATGTATGTATGCATGCATGCATGCATGCATGCATTCATTCATTCATTCATTCATTCATTCATTCATTCATTCATTCATTCATTCACTTCAGTGACTCACCCACTATTTCCACTACCTGTAGTTTGTCCTGATCTCCTAAACCCCACATGCATACCATTCATGATTACAAAGACCTGAACAGAGTGACTATTAGAGACCATTATCCATTCCCACTGATCTCCAATCTACTAGACTGGCTACAAAAGGCAGACATCTTTACTAAACTAAACTTGAGAAGTGCTTACAACCTAATCAGAATGAAAGAACGGCATGAGCATTTAACAGCATTTGATACAAGATACGGAAAATTTGAATACACAGTAATGCCTTTCAGGCTAGTTAATTGTGGAGCTGTTTTTTCTAGACGCATGAACCAAATATTCATAGACATTTTAGATAAATATGTAGCTTTACTTGGATGGCGTCTTACTTTATTCTGAAGATGCCTCCTTGCATGTAACCCATGTCAGAAATGTATTGCAAAAATTACAGGACAACAAGCTCTTTGCTAAATCAGAAAAGTGCACATTTGATCTGGCTCAACTAGACTATTTGGGTTACAGAATCTCCACAGAAGGCATACAGATGGATCCATCAAAGGTACAGGCTATTCTAGCATGGCACGCACACACACACCCCAAATGCAAAAGATGTGCAGCGCTTTCTGGGCTTTGCTAACTTCTATAAGAAATTCATCTCTGTATTGCAAAGTTTGGCAATTCTCCCAGTCAACCCAAGAGCAAGTGGCATTTCAAGAGTTAAAGCAGTTCTTTATTTCTCAACCTCTCCTCCACCACCCCAACCCCTCCTGTCCCTTTGTGGTGCAAAGAGATGCCTCAAATGAAGCAGTAGGAGCGGTTCTACTCCAGGCAGAGAAGGGAGGCTGGCAGATTTGCTACCATGTGCCTTTACTCCAGAGCGCCCCTACCAGCAGAAAGGAACTATGACATTTTCAATAAAGAGTTGTTGGCAGTAAGAAATGCCTTTCCACAATGGAGACACCTGCTAGAAGGAGCAGCATACTCCATACAAATACATGCTGATCATAAAAATTTAGAGATTCTGCAAAACACCCAATCATTCACCCCTTGGCAAATCTGGTGGGCACAATTTTTCTCCCGCTTCGATTTTTACATCTCATACGTCCCAGGTTCCCAGAACAAGCTTCCAGGTGTCCTCTCACACAAGCCACAGTATGAAGTTCCCCAATCACCCCCCACCCACCCAGCAATAATAGTGCAACCGTGCAACTTTGAGTCACACCGTAAATCAGATAAACATGAGAGGCTGGGAGCAGGAAGACAAGCTGTTGATCTCTTGGATCGGATTAGGACACAGCAGCAGCAGCAGGATGTATGTGCCAGGCTCTGGATTGCTGACCTCCAGGGAGCCCAGAATGGTACCATTTCACCTTTCACAGTGGAGGGAGGGCAGCTGTTCCACAATGGACGTTTGTATGTTCCTCTTCCCCTAAGGGAAGAAGTACTACAGCTGTGCCATGACAACAAGACAGCAGGGCACTGGGGGGGGGGGGGGGATTTAAAACCCAACAGAGAGCTCTTAGAGAGTTTTGGTGGCCCCATGTCCACTCAAACGTTAAGGATCATGTTTTTTCTTGCCATGTCTTGTTGTACAGCAAAGTCAGTCCCTGGTAAGCCAATGGGCCTGTTGCAACCACTGGAAACTCTCTCTCAGCCCTGTTTCTCTAGATTTCATCACTGATCTTCCTCCAGTGCGGAGATACACTACCATAAGGGTAGTAGTGGATTTATTTACCAAAATGGCCCATTTTATTCCTTGTAAGAATCTCCCAACAGCCCAGGAAACAGCTCGGCTCTTTTTAGACCACGTCTTCAGATACAGAGGATTAGTCAGTCATGTTATGACAGACCGAGGAAGTCAATTCATTTCCAAATTTTGGAGGACTCTCTTGCAATTATTAAATATTAAAATTCATTTGTCTTTCTCACACCATCCAGAGCTGGTCAGAATTACAAATAAAAATGCATTAAAAACTAAATAAAATAAAACATGATAATATACTACAGTTAATAGTGGGATCATCAGTGAGCAATCAAAGTCTGCCTAATTTTACAGCCAGTATAACAAAATTTAGCTATGTTCAAAGAAACTGAATCATACTGACCAGATAGCAATAACTGTACATTAAAAAGATCAGAATTTCCCAGGTATTTTACCAAATCGGGAATTACAAAATGGGTCCGTGAGTCCTTATAGAAGGTGCAGTATAGCAGGACATGTGCTATAGTTTCAATAGCCCCTTGTCCACAGGGGCACAATCTCAGCTCATATGGAACTTTTTTGTATCCGTTCTCCAAAACTTGTGTGAAGAGCATTGCAGCGTGCTAGAGTTAGTGCCCTTCAGAATCTGGAGACAGCTGTGTAATGTAAGTATCTTTCTGGTTTATAGAAAAGGGCTTGACTGCTCAAAAAAACATTCTTAGGTAGAGCAGACTGGTCCTGTTGGACTTCCAGGTCTTTGATAGGCTGTGTGAATTCACTGAGTGCACACTCATAGCCCATCCTTAGAAACACCTCCTTGGAGAAGCCAAGATGTTGAAGTGATTATGAAACAGTCCTGAACCATACTGGTTTATAATTGTCCTCAATAAGGAAAGAACTCAACCCTGTGGGAAAGAACAGTAATTTCAGCCAATGTGCTATAATACAAGTCCATGTACCTGTTTTGACTTTAGACAACCCTGCCCCCTCCTTAATACTACATTTGGAATGCTACTGAAATATGGCCCTTAGGAATTTGGACTGAACCCTTTCCAGAGGAGTAAAAGAAGGGTAAGGTCCTAGCTGGGCACCAAAGAGTAGTTGTACGCAAGCCTTAGCTGAACATAGCTTCAGTGCTGCTGGGATATGCTGTGCTCCTCTGGTAAAATGAAAGGATTGGATTGTGGGCACTGTTTTTTGAGCATTTTGTAGAGCGCAGTTTTGGTGTTCACTGCGTTTAGTGGAGCTATGAAAAACCATGCCCAAGTATTTAAAGGATTTTACTCGTTCAATATTCTGGCCATTTATCCTCCAGGTGTGTAGTTTAGGTCTCTTTGCAAAGATCAAGATCTTAGTTTTGCTATAGTTGATTTCAAGTGCTTCCTCAGAGCAATAACTGGCCAAAGCATTCAGGGCTCGTTTAAGTCCAATTTGCGTTTGTGATAGAAGTACTATGTTGTCTGCATACAACAAAGCTGCAATAGGTCTGTTTGCTAACTTTGGAGGGATGATGATCTAATTGATTTATTTTGCCCACGAGCGGATTTAGATAGAGATTAAACAACAGAGGAGCTAAAATACACCCCTGCCTCACTCCTCGGTGAGTTGGAATCTTATTGGTGTGGTGGCCTTGCATATTGGATCAAACTTTGATTCTACAGTTCTTATAGAGATTATGCAGAAGCAATAGTAACCGTCGATCAATGGTGGTGTGCAGGAGCTTAGTCCAAAGCCTTGCTTTGGGAACTAGATCAAATGCAGATCTAAAATCAATGAACATGGTATATAACATTGAGCCTGTTTTAGATGTGTAAGTTTCAGCCAGATGTTGAAGTATAAGGGCCTGAAGCCTGCTTGCTCATCTGCCAATATATGCTCTAAATCAATCCAATCAACTAATTTGTTGTATATGTGTCTGGCATAGAGCTTACTTATTATACTTAACAGGCTAATAGGCCTATAATTAGCAGCAAGTTCTCAGATGCCCTTTTTGTGGATGGGCACGATAATGTCTAGGCCCCAGTCCTCTGGAATTTGTGCAGTGCGATTGATATAGGTGAACAGGGAAGCAAGAACAGGGCTCCACCATTCCAAATTATTGCATAGTATTTCGGACATAATAAAGACATTGCCCGGAGCTTTACCAGGTTTTAGCTGATTTACGAGCATCTTTATTTCAGCACTTGTGACTGGAGCCCAATTAGGGAGCAGGTTAGCATTAAGATCTAAGTCCAATTTAGGAGCCTCTTCTTGTGAATATGATGCTCTAAAGTGGTCCTCCTACCCAGATGCAGGTAAAAGGTAAGGAAGTGAAAGGGGCCTGTCAATTGGATGGAAAGCTACATAGAGTTTCTGGCTTGAGATGTTGTTCTCAGTTGCTGCCAGTAAGCCCTAGTGAATTCCCTTTTCTTGTTTTGTAAAAGATGTTTGTACTGTTTCTTCAGGAGCATAAAGTCCTGGATGGAAAGCTCACCTGGGTTCCCTTTATATAACTTAAATTCCCTGATCAGTTTACTCTTGGCCCCAAAAACATTCTGTATCAAACCCAGGCTGAGAGAGGTAAGTCCTGCCTCCTTGTTTTTCTGTCTTCCTTGATATCTGGGTGGACAGCACTGAGTGGAGTCACTGAATCAGTTGGGTGAATGCCTGCAAAGGAAAGTTTCCAGACTT